CAAAGAGCTAAAGGAAACCACAGACTATGAACCAGAAGGGTGATGTCTTACCAGACAGAGAATGCAATAAAGAGACCAAAATTATAGATAGGAATTAAATAGAAAAATTTGATCTATAAAATATAATAGCTGAAATGAAAAATTCACTAGATTGGCTCAGCAGATTTGAGCAGGCAAAAGAATCTATGAATGTTAAAATAGGACAATTATCAAGTTAGAGGAGCAGAGGAAAAAAAAGAATGAAGAAAAATCAGTAGAACCTGAGCAACTTCTGGGGTACAGGCATTATGGCATTCCGCACGAATCTACATATCCAAGAAACACGACAAAATTCAAATAGAATCAGTTCAGCAAGATCCACATCAAAACACATTATAATCAAAATTCAGAAGCCAAAAAGAGAATCTTGAAAGTGTGAAGCAGAAAGCAACTTATCTTGTAGATAAGATCCTCAGTAATATTGACAGCTTATTTTTCATTAGAAACCTGGAGGTCAGAAAGTCGTGGGATGGCATTTAAAATGTATGAGAAAAACCATAAATCAAGAATTCTACACCTGATCTTAGAAGAAAAGCTCTCAACTCATGATATTAGTTGTGGGTTTTTCATATATGTTTCTCTGACATCAGGAACAAGATAAGAATGTCCACTCTCACCACTTTTTCCAATCTAGTACTCGAAGTCCTAGCTGCAGCAGTCAGACAAGAAAGTGAAATAAAAGGCATTCAAATGGGTAAGGAAGAAGTAAAACTTCCACTATTTGCAGACAACATGATGCCAAATATAGAAAACTCTAAACACCACCAAATAGACCTGATAAATGAATTCAGCAAAGTTACAGGATAAAAAATTCATATACAAAAATCTGTTACATTTCTATACACTAATTATGAAGTAGCAGAAAGGGAAATTAAGAAAAAAAAATTACATTTGCACCAAAAAGAATAAAATACCTAGAAATAAACTTAACCAAGGAGGTGAAAGACCTGTACTTTGAAAACTATAAAACACTCATCAAAGAAATTAAGCAAATGGAACAAATGGAAAGATATTTTATACTTATGGAGTAGAAGAACCAATATTGTTAAAATGTTCATACTACCCAAAGCAATCTGCACATTCAGTGCAATCCTTATCAAAATTCCAATGGTACTATTCATAGAACTAGAACAAATAATCCTTACATTTGTATGGAACCACAAAAGAACCTGAGTAGCCAAAGCAATTTTGAGAAAGAAGAACAAAGCTGGGAACACAGTCCCAGATTTTAGATATACTATAAAGCTGTAGCAATCAAAAGAGTATGGTACTGGCACAAAAATAGGCACATAGATCCATGGAACAGAATAAACAGCCCAGAAATAAACCTATACTTCTATGGTCAAATAATCTACAACAAAGGAGACAAGAATATACAATGGGGAAAAGACGTTCTCTTCAACAAATGGTGCCAGGAAAACTGGATAGCAACATGCAGCAGAATGAAACTGGACGACTTTCTTAGACCATACACAAAAAATAAACTCAAAGTGGATTAAAGACCTAAATGTGAGACCTGAATCCACAAAATTCCTTGAAGTGAACATAGATAGTAAAATTTGTCAACATAGGCTGTAGAAACAACATTGTACATATATCTCCTTAGGCAAGAGAAGTAAAAGTTAAACTATTGGGACTACACCAAAATAAAAAGCTTTTGCACAGCAAAGGAAAGCATCAACAGGACAAAAGGGCAGCCTAGTGAATGAGCGAAAATATTTGCAAATCATATAGAAGATAAAATGTTAATATCCCAATGCTAAGTGAATAAGTGAAATAAGTCAGAAGAAAGATAATTATCATATAATATCACTCATATGTGGAATCGAAGAAACAAAACAGATGAACCTAGGGGAGGGGAAGGAAAAAATTAGAGGAAAACAGGGAGGCAAACCATAGGAGACTCTTAACTATAGGGAACAAACTGAGGGTTGTTGGAGGGGTGGTCTGTGGGAGGGTAGAGTAACTGGGTGATGGACATTAAGGAGGGCATTTGAAGTAATGAGCACTGGGTGTTGTATGAAAGTGATGAATGACTGAATTCTACCTCTGAAACTAATAATACAATATGTATTAATGAAATTGAATTTAAATAAAAAAGTTTTAAAAAGGGATATAGAAAGCATATATGAACTATAAGATACCGCAAGGAAAAACAACCTGTGAAATTATTTTCCATCATAGTAGCTTGTTTTCTTGAGCATTTGGTGATTTTTTTTTTTTTTTTTAAGATTTACTTATATTAGGGCGGCTGGGTGGGTCAGTGGGTTAAGCCGCTGCCTTCGGCTCGGGTCATGATCTCAGGGTCCTGGCATCGAGTCCCGCGTCGGGCTCTCTGCTCAGCAGGGAGCCTGCTTCCTCCTCTCTCTCCGCCTGCCTCTCTGTCTACTTGTGATCTCTCTGTCAAATAAATAAATAAAATCTTAAAAAAAAAAAAAAGATTTACTTATTTTAGAGAAAGCACACAAGCAGGGAGAAGGGCAGAAGGATAGAAAGAGAATCCCAAGCAGACTCCCTGCAGGGAGTCTGATGCAGGGCTCCATCTCATGACCTGAGATCATGACCTGAGCTGAAATCAAGAATCAGACACATAACCAACTGAGCCATCTAGGCACCTCTGCATTTGGTAGTTTTTTATTGTGATCTTGTATTTGTTTTATTCTAATTGATGGTAATCCTGGGGATTTCTATAAAAAATGCTTTAATCCAGGGGTGCCTGGCTGGCTCACTTGGTAGATTATGGGACTGTAGGTCTTGGGGTCACAGAGCCTACTTTAAAAAAACTGCTTTAATCCAGACATGAATTTTTTTAATGCCAAAGTTAGGTGCACTATATCCTGGGAATATTTTAACTCATGGTTTAATCAGAAGTCTTGGGTTTGGCACCTTTACCTTTAGACTTATTCAGGGCTCAGTCACTTGAATGTGATGGCCCTTAGATGTACCTCTCCCTCCCCCCCAATATTTGCTTTCTGTTCAGGAATCTTTACTGTAGTTTTAATGAAGGGATTTAATTTGGTTACTATTTTTTTATTGAGGCTAGGGGGCCCTTGGAGAGATTTTCTTATTTTTTTAGAATTCTGTGATGTACTTTAATGTGTGTTTTATAGGCAGTCTAGTTGGGAGCTCCCTTTGGTATTTCTGGTTGATCATGCTGCCAGATGCCAATCCCTATTCTTTCATTTAATCATAGTGCCCTTCGTTACCTCTCACCTAGAAGGAAGATACATCCCATCTTGCCCCTCTTAATTTCACTCTCTCCAATTTTAATTTATCCTGTATATGATTGCCAACTTTATGTATCAATGAACATGTTAGACATTTTAAATTCAAGGTACCTAGAAATAAGAGTTTTGGGCTCAGGAAATATAGGGATCCTAGAGATTTGTGAGTCATTGATATAATTATCAATGCCATGGAGTGGGTAAGATTAGTGGGGAGACTGGAGTAGTGAGTGTAAATTAAAGAGTACAATAACACATCAACTTCATGGAGTAGGCCGAGGGAAAAAAAAAAAAAAAAAAAGAAAGGAGACTAAGAAGATGAAATGCCAGAAATTGGAAAATAAAAGAATGGCATCTCCAAATGGAAGGAAAGGGGGGTTTAAAGGAAGGGAAATTTATACGTTTAGATGTGGCCAGAAGGGCATGCAAGAGGAGGACTTACCATTTGTTTGATCTTTAGAAGGTGGACGATTACTATTGCCAGAAAATTTTCAATGTAGTGGGATCATATGCAAAATAGCAGTGATTGTATGAACAAGTAGTACAACTTGTTATAATCCTCTGTCCTCTTTCTCTTTACATCCTACCTCCAGTGAATATACAATGAATCAATCAGTAAGCTTCCTGGAACAAAAATAAACACAGTTACTTTCTGATCTTCCATAGTTGAAAGAAGTTCAAGTAAATACTGGAGAGGCTAGTAAGAAGGGCAAAGGAGGAGATTGGGGATAATAGTCATTAATTTGTGTTGGACTTGACTTACTGTAACTATTTTATTAATAAAGTTTATATAACCTGTTAATACTAATATTCCATATTTCTCATGTTTTAGTTGAAGTATTTATATTTTATACTATTATATTTCACAATATGAAACAGAGAACAGGGAACAACTTGGTTACTTAACTGCTTGTTTCTGGAACCAGAAAAACTCACAATTATATCTGTGTAAATCTCAGCATTCAGATCAAAAACAACAACAACAACAACAACAACAACAAAACAACCTTCTAAACCTCTGTGCAAAAAATATGTGATTGTGACATGCTTTATTCTCAAAATCTTAAACTTTCTGTAAAGGTAATTAAATTGTAGTTTTCATGTATCTTAGCATAAAGTGAAACTTTCACCATAAAGAATTATTGAAGTTATACTTCAGGGAAAGAGGGTATGATTGTGAAAAAAGAGTAGACAAGTATTACTTCACGTATTTAGAAAATACTTTAAAATATTTGGAAACCACTTACTCTCACTTTAGAATAGCCTAGAATGTTTTTTTTTTCCAAAACTCACAAATATAACTTTTGTAATAATACATTTGACTTCTCACCTTTTACCCAAGAAACACCAAAGTGTAATTATTTCATTTGTTACCTTTATCCTGCTACATTTTCCATATCCTTATACTTTTCTCTTACAAAACACAATAAATTTAAAAATTATGAGAGACCTATTTCCTAAGTCAGCCTTTCCCTATACTCAGCAGCATCTGCTCTGGGTTCTACTTATCCCTGAAAGTTGCATTGAAGGCCTCTATAGGCTCTTTGCCTCAGTTCCTCATAAGTGCAATAACATTTCATATAGAAATCTCAACAGTCAAATTCCCTACTGTTTGAAAATACCTTTCCCCATCAGAAGAACAAAAAACAATAACACATAAATACATTAAACTAGCAGCTCTCTCCTTTTATGGTTTTGTTCACAACTAACATATAATATTTCTTTCCTTCCGTATAGGTACCAGAGATTTGAAAAGGCATTTCTGTTAGCTGTTGACATTGGTGCTCGCGACCTGTTTATGGTGAGTCATTCCCAGAGATGATTTTGTTCCTTCAGTTCTAAGGCTGAGTAAGTTGTCAGCTTTTGTGACCATTAAAAAGGATTAGTGTCATTTGTGCCTTAGACACATGATGGGAAAGCATTATTCCATCTTGGCTTGCAGCTTTCCCTTCATGAAACTGGTCAATAGCCATCTAGTCTCTTTTGACTTGTTGACATTTTCCTTGCCAGGGCCCAAAGGATATTTTATGTTTTCTAAGAATTTATAATTCTTGAACTTTTCTCTTCATGTACTTTGATGTGAGGGGATGACACCTTTCCATCTAATAAGCTTAAATTTCTTTTTAATCCATCCTCTAAAGTACAGCTATAGCAGCTAGGACATAAGGCAAAATATGTACAATAGATTTTGAATGTGCTTAGTTTGTCCCTTAGATTTTAGTGTGAAGTAACAAATTATGGATGTTCTCACTTGTATTTTTAAAGTAACCACAGGGCAAAGTAGATCCAGGGGTTTATAAATTCACATACACTTTAATCCTCCCATTTATGAGCTAACAGCAATAAAATTGGCAGTTTCTTACAGATCTCTGTGCTCTGTATCAGTTTCTTACAAGATCTTTTACCACAATGTCACAGTGAGATCAGATGAAGGTGGTGTTCCTCTTCCGGTTTCCTAGCATATTCTGTTCCACAGAAACTTCACTGTCATCAAAGAAACAATAAAGCAAAAGCTTCTTAAAAACAAAAAAAATTCTGGAAGGCTCTTTTACCTGAATATTCTGCACAATGAAGACATTTTTGTAGTTTAAGCATTGATTCTTTAGATGTTAAAATGGGTTCTTGGCTTTAGATCACTTGTCTTTGGAATGAGTTTGTTGCTTGAATTCTAGCTTTGCATCATTCATTTAAATTGCACTTTCATTGATCATGAAAAAAACCTTTCTAATTACTTCAAAAGTATGAACCTTCTGTTATTTAGCATCTGTATTTTGTGTTTTGTTCTGTCAAATTGAACAGGCATTTTCGTATATCGAGGGAAGGTTTTACTATTTGGCCAATATCTGTGCATGTTGACATCACAGTTCAGGAGTTATAACACTTTTTTGATTTTTTCATCTCACTGGCTTTATCTCTACTTTTTCACCTCTGCCTCTATTCACTCCAGTAAAGGTAGCTTTTCTTCATATTTCTTTACTTGCAAGGTTGTTTTTGGGTCTAAGGACAATGTACTGAAAGACTTTGTAAACTGGTAAATAGTATACAGATATCATGTGTTACTACTGTTAAGACAGAGCAACTATTGTTATTACATGGCTATGTAAAAAATAGTGAAGACCTTAAACAGGGCCTTAATTATAGGAATGTAAAGGAGGGGATATTTTGTAAGCAAAATCAAGATGATTCATCAAGACCTTAGCTGAAAATAGAATATTTTGATTGTAAGAATAAATAATGCTATAATAGAAAGTAAACAATATCATAAAGTATAGAGAAAAAAAGTAAAATCCACTTGAAATCTTCTAGTCTAGAAATGCACATCCTCTAAAATACCTCTATGTGAATATGTGTGTGTGTTTGTGTGTGTATACTGTACTTTTTGTTTATAACTTGAGTTTTTTCATTCAGCAATATAGTTTTCCATATTGGTAAACATAAGTCTATCATCTCTTCAATGTTTATATTGTATTCTATTTTATGGGGATAAAAACAGGCATATGGATAAATGGAACAGAATAAGGGGCCCAGAAATAAATCCACATTTACGGGTCAGCTAGTCTTTGACAAAGATCATACAACAGGATAGAATAGTCTTTTCAGTAAGTAGTGGTAGGCAAATTGGCTATGCACATGCAAAAGAATGAACCGGACCTTATATCACTCACAAAAACTAACTAAAAATGAATTGAAGACTTAAATGTAAGACCTGAAACCAAAAAACTTCCAGAAGAAAACATCAAGAAAAAGCTCTTTTACACTGATCTTGGCGATGTTTTTTCTGTGTTTTGTTTTTATAAGACAACAAAAGCATAGGCACAAAAACTAAAATATAAGTGGGACTAGGGGTGTCTGGGTGATTCAGTCAGTTGAGCATCTTATTTTGATCCTGGCTCAGATCTTGATCTTATGGTCATGGGTTCAAGCCCCACATTAAAAAAAAAAAAAAAAAAGGGATTGGGAGGGAGACAAACCATACGAGACTCTTAATCTCACAAAACAAACTGACGGTTGCCAGGGGTAGGGTGGTAGGGAGAGGGTGGTTGGGTTATGGACACTAGGGAGGGTATGTGCTATGGTGAGTGCTGTGAAGTGTGTAAGCCTGACAATTCACAGACCTGTACCCCTGGGGCTAGTAATACATTATATGTTAATCAAAAATTTTTTCAAATACAAAGAAAATAAAATAAATGGGACTGTGTCAAACTAAAAAAGCTTCTACACAGTAAATGAAATAGTCAAAATAGTGAAAGGGCAATCTACAAATGGGAGAAAATATTTGAAAATCATATATCTGATAAGGAGTTAATATCCAAACTACATGAGGAACTAATAGAAATCAGTAACAAAACAAATCAAATTATTCAATTAAAAAATGAACAAAGGACCTGAAAAGACATTTTTCCAAAGAAGACATGCAATTGTCCAACAGGTACATGAAAAGGTATTCAACATCACTCATCACCTGGGAAGTGCAAATCAAAACCACAATCTGTTAACACCTCATACCTGTTAGGATGTCTTTTATCAGAAAAGATATTATAATGGTGGACAAAAATGTGGGGAAAAGGGAACCCTTGTTCACTAACCCTTGTTAGTGGGAGTATAAATTGATGCAGCCACTATGGAAAAACAATATGGAGGTTCCTCAAAAAATTAAAAATAAAACTGCTACATGATCTAACAGTTCCACCTCTGGGTAAATATCCAAAGGAAACAAAATCAGTATCTTGAAGAAGTATCTACCCATGTCTACTGCAGCATTATTCACAGTAGCTAAGATATAAAAAAACCTAAGTGTTAACTGACAGATGAAGGGAATCTTGCCATTTGCTATATCATTGATGAACCTGAAGGGCATTACACTAAGGAAAATAAGCCAGACAGAGAAAGACAAATACTGTATGGTATCAGTTATATACAGAATCTTAAATAAATAAAAGCTAATTTCACAGAAATAGAGAGTAAACTGATAGTTGCCAGGGGCTGGTTAAAATCTTTTTTTAAAGATTTTTTTTTTAATCTTTTACTACCCCAAGATCTTAAAAATTCTTTTTTTTTTTTTAAGATTTTATTTTTAAGTAATCTCTACACCCAGCATGGAGTTCAAAGTCAACCCCCCCCAATCAAAAAAGTTGCATACTCTACAGACTAAGCCAGCCAGGTGCCCCAAAACTTCTTTTTATCTTCCAGAATTCGTATTATTTTAATGTTAACATTCAAACCTACAATCCACCTTTATTGATTTTTAAGAGGATATAGCTCAAAATTGATTTCTATCATATGTATATCCAGTTGACCTGTGACCATTTATTGACAAAATTGTCCTTTGTTTGTTGCTTTACAGGGTCACCTTTGTCATAAATGAGGTTCCCACAGAAATGCACATGAAAATCATAATGAGATATCATCTCACACCAGTCAGAATAGCTAGTACAAAGTGACAAGAAATAACAAGTGGCAGGGGCACCTGACTGGCTCAGTCTGTGGAGTGTGCAACTCTTGATCTTGGAATTGTGAGTTTGAGCCCCACGTTGGGTATAGAAATTATTTAAAAATAAAATATTAACAAAAATAACAAGTGGTGGCAAGGATCTGGAGAATGTTGGTGAGAACATAAATTACTGCAGCCACTATGGAAAACAGTATGGAGGTTCCTTAAACAATTAAAAATAGAAATACCATATGATCCAATAATTTTGCTACTGGATATTTACCCAAAGGAAATTAAAACACTCATTTGAAAAGATATGTTGCACCCCTATGTTTGTTGCAACATTATTTTTTTTTAAGATTTTATTTATTTATTTGAGAGAGAAAGAGACAGAGTGAGAGAGCATGAGAGGGAAGGTCAGAGGGAGAAGCAGACTCCCCATGGAGCTGGGAGCCTGTTGTAGGACTCGATCCCAGGACTCCGGGATCATGACCCAAGCCGAAGGCAGTCACTCAACCAACTGAGCCACCCAGGCATTCCTGTTGCAACATTATTTACAATAAGACAAGATATGGAAGCAAACCAAGTGTCCATAGATGAATGGATAAAGATGTGATACACACACACACACACACACACACACACACAAAATGGAATATTAACCATAAAAAAGAATGAAATCTTGTCATTTGTGACAACATGGATGGACCCAGAGGGTATTATGCTAAGTGAAATGTCAGGCAGAGAAAGACAAATACAATATGATTTCACTTTTATGCGGAAGCTAAAAATAAAAACAAATGAACAGACACCAAAGAGAAACAGAAAGAGGCTCATAAGTAAAGAGAACAAAATGTGGTCATCAAAGTAGAAGGGTATGGGGGATAGGCAAAGTAGGTGAAGGGGGTTAAGAGGTACAACCATGTACATATAAAATAAGTTAGGGAGATGAAAAGTACAGCATAGGAAATATAGTCAATAATATTGTAATAACTGTGTGTGTTGAGAAATGGTAACTACACTTCTCATGGTAAGCATTATATAATGTATAGATTTGTTGAGCCACTATATTGTTCACCTTCAAATAATGTAATACTGTCTGTCAACTATAATTAAATAAAAATAAACCAATCAAGTGCCCACATATATGTGCAGGTCTACTACTAGACTCTGTCCTTGCTCCAATACCAGACTGCCTTAATTACTTTATAAATATTTATATCCAATAGTTTAAGTCTTCCAAGTTTGTTTAAATGTGTTGTTCTTATTCTAACTTGTGATAGATGCTTAAGGCATGGATTTTTCAGTTTCTGTTTCCTAATGTATGCATTCAAGGGTATAATTTCCATTTAAGCATGGCTTTGATTGCA